CTTTTTGTCTGTAATGAAAACTTCATTTTACAACATTTTAATTATATAATCTCTTTTTGGTCTAAATACAGAATTATTTGATGGTGAGAGACAGTTCATAATTCAACCTCTTTATTAAAGAATAATCAATTATCAATTATTAGAAATAATTAATTTTGTTAGCAGAGATAAAACTATCCGGACAAGCTATTATTGTGACTTTGTAGCCAGATGGGTATGATTTTGCTTTGGCTGTTCAGTATTTTGATCCATTGTGATATGTCTTGTGGTACCTGTGAATGATTTTACCTGCAAAATGAATGACAGAATATCAGAATGTAACATTACATTAAGATACATCCTTACACTGCAATAAAATTATGTAATAGATGTTCAGTGTGAAGAATATGGTCTTTGACACTCTTTGTATATAATAAACATGCTATTGTGTAATGGAAATGATCAAATAAAGTTATTTGTGCAACAGCCCTTGCATTCAAACATCTTATTTGTATTTTTCTTGTTCATGCTTTCAGAGCATCAGCCTCAGGATAAGCAAATTCCATTGGATTTGTGAGGGCACTTGAACTATATTGTGTCATTACATGAATTATAGAAAAGATTCAGACTCCCACAGCCTGTGCTACAAGTTACAGCAGTGACAGTGTAGAGGGGGGATCCGCAAGTAAAATATGCTAGAATATCGAAAGGGGGGGGGGTGATACAAATAAAAAATGATGTTTAATATGACTTAAAATTATTAAGCAATTGAGTGCACCAGCACTTTCCCCTTAACAAGTAAAATTATCTGGTATTGGACTGAGTAGGATAACAAAGTAGGGCATGTACTGTTCCTTTATTAATCACTTATAATATTAAATGGTTTAAATGCTGAATTTTTTGAAAGTGCCTGAGTGACAACTGGCAGGGTACTGAAAAGGTAGGTTGTGCACATGCATCCTAAATAAACACTGCTACAAAAACCTGGTAGTTAACAGTTAAAAATTAAAACGTAAAACCAATCACGAATTTCATTATTTCAAAGTAATATGAAACAAAACAAGTCGGTAAAAGTATTTTGAACCCAAGATATGAGATAAAATTACAGTATGAGAATGAGTTTAAATATAAAGAACAACAAAAAAGAGGATACAAAACTACTGTGATATTGTTGAAATTAGCAATATTATACATTTGCTGTTTATAACAGTAGTTGTTGACATAATGTATTTATGCTTTCCATCGAAATTGCAAGTTAAATTTGCCCGAAGCAGCCCAAGTTTTGGCAAGCTAGAACTTAAAAAAAGTAAAAGAAATAACTCTTTTGTGAATCTTACCTGAAAACAAGAAATATAATAATCCTTTCGAGTGAATTGTTTCATCTACAAGCAGACTAAAAATTTAAAACTAACACACTTTTTTCTCGACTGCAAAAATATCAAAATGTTCAGTCGAAACTCGAAAATTGTGATCAAAATATTTGCAAAAACCATGGGGGTGAAGGATTTTATTTCAAGCGTAGGATCGTGGTTGGTCAGTGGTAATTGCCATGAGCCGGAGGAACCAATTACACTGAGCTATACTTAATATATCTGGAGATCGTGTTCCAATACCTCGTCAGTCAAAAATGTGTGGCCAAAAACATGGCGGATTGTGGCCAAATTTACGTCATTTTGACGTCACAATCGACCTAAATTTATGGTGAACACCACTGACCTAAAATACTAACGTGAAGAAAAAAGTTATTCACACCCCCTTTCAATTTGCTTAAAACAGAAGGAAGTAAAATAGTAAATTCAAATTTCTATATTGAAACGAGACATTTGCAACCATGCCAACTTTTTGTTCAATTGCTGGTTGCCAAAAATCTACTGAAAGAAAAGATCTGTCCTCACATGCGTAAGGTTCGTATAATCTCTGTTTTTTTTAATAATTTAACGCATGCTGTATTGCTGTATTGAATGCGTAAATTTGTGAATTCATGAAATTTATTGGCAAGCAACATACAATACAATTTATGTTAGGGTACTAGGCTACAGTGCAAAAGCAGAACAAAATTTTAAAATGTTGACAAGCTTGTGGAGCTGTTGTCGAGCAAGTATTTATTTTCATGCAAGTTGATGGATGTGATGCAGTGATGAAATCCTATCGATATCCTAACAGATAATGCTATGTTAAAAAAATTTGAAATGAGAATTTTAACAATGTGATAAAGATACGACTAGCTTTAAATGTACAAAGCCTTTCACTCATTGTATTGTCTTTATTGTGGACTAAACCATGTGTTGTCTAGTGTGGCATTGTTTATATTGTAAGTTATAGGTATCGTATTGAACAGTGTATTAACTACAGACACTAAAAACAATTGTTCATTTACTTCAAAGCTTTCCAGATGAGAAGAGATTCCCTGAATTGCACAGCATATGGGTGAAGAATATAAGCAAACTTATGCCAGTGAAGTTTGTTCCTATGAAAAATAGTCGTTTGTGTTCAAAGCATTTTGGTGCTGATATCTTTGAGGAGGATTACAGCCAGAGACCAGTGTTAAAGCCATATGCTGTACCAACAATCTTTAATGATTGCTTTGGTCAGCTTGGTTGTGATCTTTACAGTTTATTATCAGTACATTTAATGGTCATACTGTACATGAGGGGTAATTAACCCATTAAGCGCCAGCGCTCTCCCCTTGACGAGTAAAATTGTCTGGCGTTAGACAGAGTAAAATACTAAAATAGGGTGCTTCGCCACTCAATGGGTTAAATTTATTCCTTATTTTTTCTGCTAACAACTTTAAGTTATTTGTACACATTTTGGTCTGTTTAGCTAAGCCAAGATTGCTACATTTACATTTATTTTGACCATTTGTGTTAGTGTACAAATTAGGCTAGCATAATTACTGAAGGTGCTGACCATCAAGTAGGGATTGACATGCATAGAATTGGTTGAGCAGTTTATTTAATTAAATTGGTGTTGTATGTGTTTAAAAATAAAGAATAAATTTTGTTGTGATTTGAAATTGAATATATTATTTATTCTTATTACTAAATGTAATTATATAAATATCTTGGAAAATCTTTTTTTGAATAAAATATTTTTTTAATAATTCTTCACTGTCGTTCCAATTGAAGTTTTCCTCAAATATAGATTCAATACATTACCTCGGGCTAACCAATTCATTTGATTAAGTTCCTCAAGATATTCATACACTTCCTAGTATAATTGTAAACTTCCTGTTAAATGGTTTGAATGCACCAATCACCTTTGTTGTTTGTGCAACTAACCAATCATAAATAGAAAGAAAGTGACCAGAAATGATTAAATACTTGGAATTGGCTCTTTCACAGGAAGTGTATGAATATCTGGAGGAACTTGATGAAATGAGATGCTTGTGTGATGTTACTCTGAGTGTATATCCACACCGGGCAGGCTTGAAAAATATGCCTGGCCACAGTGGGATTTGAACCTACGACCTTTGGAATACTAGCCCAAATGGCAATGCTCTGTCAACTGAGCTACGCGGTCAGGTCGGTTTGAATCCCAATGTGGCTTGGCATATTTTTCAAGCTTGCCCGGTGTGGATATGCACTCAGAGTAACATCACACAAGCATCATATTCACAAATATCATGGTTATTAGATTACACTGATATCGAAGGAACTAGACTGAGTTCCGAAATATCGCATATTCGAACTGCCCGGACTGTATAGCTCAGTTGGCAGAGCATTGGGCCAGTATTCCAAAGGTTGTAGGTTCAAATCCCACTGTGGCCTGGCATATTTTTCAAGCCTGCCCAGTGTGGATATCCACTCAGAGTACGTAACATCACACAAGCATCTTATTCACCTGAGTACATGTATTACACCAACACAGCAAATATCTTGATGGAATGAATTGGTCAGCCCGAGGTAATGTATTGAATCAATATTTGAGGAACACTTAAAAATAAGGTATGAATCGCATAAAATGCAGATATCAAAATCAAACATTGTAACTCGAGCATAAAAATGTGCATGTTTGTTTGAAAAGGCGATTGTTCCTTTAAAAGGCGATTGTTCAATGAAATAGTGCCATTGCCTTTTACAAGGAAGACCATTATAAAGAAATACACTTGACTTTCTTCATTGCCACCATAGACAATCCAGAAGACAGTCTTTTGGATTGTCTATGTTGCCACCTGGTACTTAGTACAGATATCCCATGTTTTCTTGATAATTTCATACCTGAAAGCGGAATACATACAGGTGTAAAAAACGTTAATGGTGATATAAGTGCTTTATATTCCAAAGAGTTGCTTTTCCCCACAATTTACTAATAGAATAAACTGGTATTACAATCTCTAAAAAAACCTTTGTCACTCAGGGAAATTTATAGCAGTACGGTTTTCAACAAGCTATATTTGCTTAATTTTACTTGCTGGGGATTGTTATAATACTCGTGTTTTAAAGAATAATCTTGATAGTCCGTTGCAACAAAAATTCACAATACAACAAGAATTGATAAATCATTTCAATGACTTACATGCTTTGTTCTTGTGGCCGTCAAGCTCCATTCATATCTTTTTTTATTAATGGCTTTCGGTCTTTATTGATTTATACGCGCAGTTAGAATAATACTGTATTTTCAAAAGGACGAAAATCAAAATACACTCCATCGTCGATCAACTATTAATACAAACAACAGTACATAAATGATAAATCACTGTAAAATCAGGGGGGGGGGTGAATTTTGTCGCCCACGGACATTCGAGCCATGGGTCAGTGGAAACTGCCATGAAAATAAGTCGATTGTGACGTAAAATCTGCCATGTTTTTGGCCACACACTTTCATCGAGAGCACGATCTCCAGATATATTAAGTATAGCTCAGTGACCAATTGGCGTCAGCAAACATGAAAATCCGCCATGTTTTTCCGGACCCTCGTTTGACTGACGGATAGATAGGAGCACGTCCTCCAGTAATATTATAGCTCAGTGGGACGAATACACAATGTTTATTTCACCTTTTAAAATCTTCTTCAGATTATCAACATCTTGTTCCTTCCCAATAAATGATGCCTTTATGCTTTAGATATTTTACTTGATCATTCATTGTGGACACTAGCGGAGAAATAACCAGTACAATTGCAGTTCGCGTTTTATCATCTAACTGTGCCATTGCTTCTACAACCAAAGGTGCAAGCTGATAGATTACGGACTTGCCATAGCCAGTTGGAAGGCTTACAAACACATCTTTTCCAGATATCAAATAAAACAATGCCCACTTTTGTTCTGGTTTTAATTCAGCCAAACCAAGCCGTGGCAGAACAGCCTTTACACTTGTTTCGAATCTTTCTTCGAAGCTACAAGTACTAGTATCAAATTGCAACTCCATGTTTACATTTAAAAACAATAGTGCCAATAGTGCCTTAATCCAATTACGTATTATACAACCAATTAGAAACGTTCATTTATCGTAGGTGACTACTGGCCAATCAACTATTACTTTACATTATTCGAAAAGCTCTTGACGTCACCGGACGGCATTAATGCGCTCAGATTTCAGGCGTCTCTCCCCGTGTTCAAGCGGGGAGAACGCCTGACATTTCAGGCTAGTTCAGGTCCCCTTTCCGTTTTTGAATTGTTGCTGCATGCTTTCACACGGAGAAAAAGTAAGTAAAATTAATTAAATAAGAATGCTTCTAGTCTCGGTTATTGAATGAAATTGCCTAAATTTAGAAAGATTGATAAAATACACCCTTTCGATAATACGTCACAACTACACTGTTTTCAACTTAGGACCACCTTAAATGGAAAAGATTTCAAGCTTTTTTCTCATGGGCTTTGCACAGAGAAGCAAAACATCCCTCAACGCAAGCATGAAAAAGGATTCTTTATAGACCTTATTCATAAATCGTGACGATGCCTCGTATCCTAGATTACGGGAACAAAACGCGGAAAAACAAGCGAAAACTGCTTGACAAGCCAAATTCAGATGCTATTGTGTTGACTTTTATAACGGCTTGTTTCTTGTTGCTTTTTGCGATGTATAACGCTTTTTGTGTGTATTTCAAGATTTTGTGCCCACAACGAAAGCAATAAACTGGTATATTATAAAAGCGACCGGTTTTTCTCCCGTTTTTGTGTGGAAAATTATGACAACGTAGCGATGGTGTTTATCCAGCAGCGAAAAACAGTATTTTACTGAGATTTTAACGTCAATATAAAGGTTATTTTGTGAAAAATCAAGACAACTATGGAATAAAAGTATAATCTTTCGAATTTGACACTAACATGAAAGAAAACAACAGTCAAAAATCACAAGACAACGTCAAATGTTATTGATTCGTGCGGAAAAATATGAACTGTGGCTGTGGCTCGATAACATTCTGCAAGCAGCTTACAAGTTTAGAAAATGAAGGCTACATTACCTGAGTGAGTTGTAATCCTATTTCTTCAACAATAGTTTCATATTTCTTACGATTTTGGTGTTGTATAGACGTTTTGTAGCCTTGTTGGTTGTTTGTTTTGCCCATACAAACTTGGCAATAATACAAAGTCAAAGGTTTCCTTTTTCAATTGACTCCAGCATCTTTTGCTTTAATTTCTCAGATATATTTCTTTAATTTCTCAGATATATTTCTTATGTTATATTTTCTCAGAAGTATTTTTTTCAACTTTCAGGATCAGTTTTAAAGATATTATTTTCGAAAAAAGTCGTAATATTCACGATAAAAAGCTGCCATAGCCGACAGCAAGGAGAAAACATTTTGTGAATTTTCCCGCGTTTTTCCCCGTTTCCTAGGATAAGAGGCCTTATCACGATTTTATATGAACACTGTTTATGAATAAGGCCTATTTTAAGCAATAATTGTAGAAATAAGCTTTAACACGAAAACGAGGCTCCATGACCTGGAGCTTCGTTTTCGTGTTAATGCTCATTTCCATTTATTGATCAAAATCCAAAATTGTTTTTCGCGCATGTGTTGAAGAAGGATGTTTGTTTCTCTTTGCATAGCCCATGAGAAAAAAATTAGGATGTTAAAGTTTGTAATCCAAGTGAGAATATATACATTTTAAGACCTAATCAGGAACGAGTGCGAAAAATGCAGCACAAGGTCCTCTGGTAGGAATTGAACCTACGGCCCTGCATTCCGAAGCAGCGCTCTAACCAAACTGATGTATTGAACAATCTCTGCCTATTCGGGTCATGCAGATACTAGTGCTTGACGCGAAAATTGACAAGACTTATATAACCATCAGATTTCATCCATTCTATCTAAAGTTTAAATACGTTTCTAATCTTGATAATTAGGTAATATTTCCTAAATTTCAGAAAGATTGATAAAATACAACCATCTATATCTCGGCATGAGCTCCACCTTTGAATTTACTATATGATTAAATTGTTAAACACATCCGAATTTATCATGATAAATTCGCGGCACCTAACACTAACCTCAACCCTAACTTCAACCCTAACCCTAAACTAACTTTTTTCAACCTTTTTGAAAATCTAACTTTTTAAACTTTTTTTCACTTTTTTCAATCTTTTTTAACTTTTTTTAACTTTTTTCTGAAAATCTAAAAAGTCCCCTCACATCCGCGCGACCGGCCTCCCCTTTAGTGCCATTACATTTATAACAAACACTATTGTCTAATGCTTGTGGTTTTATGATTTACTCCATTGATAAATTCAAAATGTGCCGCGAATTCAACCCTCGAAATTCAGCTATTTTTGCCTCGGCAAATAATTGCCGAAGTCTTTTGATAATTTTCGAGCAAAAAAAATTGCCGAGGCACGCAAGAAATCATCTTAACTTCCTTCGACAATCACCTCAGCACCCTTCGGCATTCACGTCGGCAGTTCCTGTTTCAAAATGTTTTTAAAAAGTTAGTGGTAATTAACAACAAATTGTATGAAAGAATAACTTGACGGTAATCACCCGACAGTCTAAAGGATAAAACAAAGTTTCTCGACGTGCCGTCTTTAAACCATCGTCCATCAAGATTGTTCTTTATTTCAGTCGAAGCCGACGCTGAAAAGCTCAAATTTAGGTATTTTGTAAAGTAGCTATGAATGAAATCTTCTGTTGTTCACCCGACGTCGATGACAACAATTCGAACAAAGAAGCGATACAAAAAACGAACACTGCACGGCCATGTAGTTCGTAAATTTAAGCAAAAAAATGAACAGACGCTGTAGTTTGTAACTTATAATACAACGGGTTAATTGAATTGCTTCGGCATTTTTTTTCCGAGACAAACTATGAAAAATCGTAACTTGCCTCCGCATTTGCGTCGGCAATTGCCGAAGTGGCGAGGCGCGAATTTCGAGGATTGGAATTTATCATAATGATAAATTCGGACGTGTTTAACAATTTACTCATATTATAGGAAATTCAAAGGTGGAGCTCAGTGTTGCTCTATCTATATGCCATTATCAATGGGGACTAATTAGTCCCCCATTAGTATATAAAGCAAGCCTGATCAGGGCCCCCTTCTATTTTTGAATTGTTGCCACTGCCACACGGAGAAAATAAGTAAAATTGACTGAATGACTCAAATAAGTACGCTTCTAGTGTCAATTATCCAATAAAATTGCCTAAATTTCAGAAGGATTAATAAAATACGACCATCTTTATCTACATGCCATTATCAATAGGGACTATAATTATTCCCCCTTTAGTGGAAAGAGAGCCTAATAAGGCCCCCTTAGCTTCCCATTTTTGAATTGTTGCTGCTGCCAAACGGAGAAAAATAAGTAAAAACCAGAAAATATAAAACAAGTATAGTCAATTATTGAATAAAATTTCCCGGCTAAATTTCAGGAACATTGATAAAATACAACAATCTCTAACTGCCTATTCGGGTAATGCAGATGCTGGAGCTCTAGCGTATCATCCTATAGAATGCTTGACGGCAAAATTGACCGAATTTACATAACCATCAGCTTTTATCAAATCAATCTAAAATATAAATATGTCTCTTTATACGGTGACTAGGTAATATTTACTGAATTTGAGAAAGATTAATTTAACACAACTTAATCTCTGCATAATTCCGCTCATCCGGATGCAGGCGTTGTATTATATATATAGGAGTAGGGCTTGGCTTGAGTAGGATTTACATAACCATCAGCTTTTATCGTATCAGTCTAAAATTTAAATATGTTTCGTTACTCAGTGGTTAGGTAATATTTCCTAAGTTTCAGAACGTTTGAGAAAATAGAACAATCTCTGCCTACTCGGGTCATGCAGATGCTAGTACTCTATATATAGCATATATATATATATAGGACCAGGCAGCAATATTGACCATATTTACATATAACCATCAGCTTTTATCGAATCAATCTAAAATTTAAATATGTTTCGTTACTCAGTGGTTAGGTAGTATTTCCTAAATTTTAGAACGTTAGAGGAGGCAAAATTATTAAAATAGAAATCTAAATGAAACTTTCTAAATTAATTAAACCTCACCCATTAGCCCCCCCACTCTCTAATACGCTCCGCGGGCCCTGTAGAGAAATTAATGCAACAATTTCTGCCTACTCGAGTCACGCATATATGTTAGTACTGTATATATCGTATATGTAGGGCTTGATAGCAAACTTGACCAGTTTTACATAACCATCAGCTTTCACCCAAGCAAGCTAAAATCCAAATAGCTACACTTTTTTCTCTCACTATTTACATGATATTTCCTTAATTTTAGAGAGATTGACAAAATGCAACACTCTCTATCTAACCACAATCAATGAGAGACTAATTAGGCCCCCCTTCGCTTGAAAGGGAGCCTGATCGGTCCCCCCTTTCATTGCTGCTGCTACACAAAATATATAACAGTTAAATTGACGGAAATAACTATGCTTCTTTAACCTCGGTTATATACTACAACATTTACTAAATTTCAGAAAGATTGGGAAAATGCAACAATCTCTGCCTACTCGAGTTCTTCAGATGCCAATAGCATAGGGGCTCTAGGCCTATATATCGTATATATAGGGCTTCACTGCAATATTGACCAGATTTACATAACCATCAGCTTTTATCGATTCAGTCTAAAATTTAAATATGTTTCGTTACTCAGTGATTGGGTAATATTTCCTAAATTTTAGAACGTTTGAGAAAATGCAACAATTTCTGCCTACTCGAGTCACGCATATAGTACTGTATATATCGTATATGTAGGGCTTGATAGCAAACTTGACCAGATTTACATAACCATCAGCTTTCACCCAAGCAAGCTAAAATCAAAATACGCTTTTTTCTGTCACTATGCACATAATATTTCCTTAATTTTAGAGAGATTGACCATATGCAACAATCTCTATCTAAACACAATTAATGGGAGACTAATTAGGCCGCCCTTCGCTGGAAAGGGAGCCTGATC